CTAACACCATACACAAAAATAAACTCAAAATGGATTAAAGATCTAAATGTAAGACCAGAAACTATAAAACTCCTAGAGGAGAACATAGGCAAAACACTCTCCGACATAAATCACAGCAAGATCCTCTATGACCCACCTCCCAGAATATTGGAAATAAAAGCAAAAATAAACAAATGGGACCTAATTAAACTTAAAAGCTTTTGCACAACAAAGGAAACATTAACCAAGGTGAAAAGACAGCCTTCAGAATGGGAGAAAATAATAGCAAACGAAGAAACAGACAAAGAATTAATCTCAAAAATATACAAGCAACTCCTGAAGCTCAATTCCAGAAAAATAAATGACCCAATCAAAAAATGGGCCAAAGAACTAAACAGACATTTCTCCAAAGAAGACATACAGATGGCTAACAAACACATGAAAAGATGCTCAACATCACTCATTATCAGAGAAATGCAAATCAAAACCACAATGAGGTACCATTACACGCCAGTCAGGATGGCTGCTATCTAAAAGTCTACAAGCAATAAATGCCAGAGAGGGTGTGGAGAAAAGGGAACCCTTTTACACTGCTGGTGGGAATGCAAACTAGTACAGCCACTATGAAGAACAGTGTGGAGATTCCTTAAAAAACTGGAAATAGAGCTGTCATATGACCCAGCAATCCCACTCCTGGGCATACACACTGAGGAAACCAGATCTGAAAGAGACACGTGCACCCCAGTGTTCATCGCAGCACTGTTTATAATAGCCAGGACATGGAAGCAACCTAGATGCCCATCAGCAGATGAATGGATAAGAAAGATGTGGCACATATACACAACAGAATATTACTCAGCCATTAAAAAGAATACATTTGAATCAGGTCTAATGAGATGGATGAAACTGGAGCCTATTATACAGAGTGAAGTAAGCCAGAAAGAAAAACACCAATACAGTATACTAACACATATATATGGAATTTAGAAAGATGGTAATGATAACCCTATATGCAAGACAGAAAAAGAGACACAGATGTATAGAACAGAATTTTGGACTCTATGGGAGAAGGCGAAGGTGGGATGATCTGAGAGAACAGCATTGAAACATGTATATTATCAAGGGTGAAAGAGATCACCAGCCCAGGTTGGATGCATGAGACAAGTGCTCAGGGCTGGTGCACTGGGAAGACCCAGAGGGATGGGATGGGGAGGGAGGTGGGAGGGGGGATCAGGATGGGGAACACATGTAAATCCATGGCTGATTCATGTCAATATATGGCAAAAACCACTACAATATTGGAAAGTAATTAGCCTCCAACTAATAAAAATAAATGAAAAAAAAAATAAGTTCAGGCTTTTGCTGACAACCCATCCTCTGATCATCCATGTCACTATGAGTGTGGTAACAGAAGAATGTATTCTTTTGTCAAAGGACATGGTGACTAAGTAGTTCTGTTCACCTCCAGGATATGGTGGGTGTTAAAAATGGACACAAGAGGGCTTCCTTGGTGGTCCACTGGTTAAGAATCCACCTGCTGATGCAGGGGACATGGATTCAATCCCTGGTCTGGGAAGATCCCACATGCCTTAAGGCAACTAAGCCCTTGTGCCACAACTACTGCGCCTGTGCTCTAGAGCCTAAAACACAACTACTGAGTCAGCCCACCACACCTCCTGAAGCCACCCTGTTCTAGAGCCCGAGCTCCACAATAAGAGAAGCTACCGCAATGAGAAGCATGCACCCTGCAGTGAGAGAAAGACCACACGCAGCAACGAAGACCAGGTGCAGCCAAATATAATAGCTAATAAATAATAAAAACATATAAAATGGATGCAAGATTGGTGGGTCCATGCCTGCTCTTTTGGTTAGAAGTGAAGGGACTAGGGCCCAGAGAGCAGGAGAGACTCATCCGAGGAGACACGCTTGATGTAGGTATGGACTACAGGGTGTCCTATCTCTCTTTTTCTTCAGAGCTGAGTCCTGGGAGAGGTCTGTGTTCCCCTGAGCAAGGCCATGCCTATAGGTAACTGCACAAACCTTTTGTCTGTAGGGCATCTTCTAGATGAGCCGCCGCTCCAAGTGTTACCTAAAGAGTGTGTGGATCTGGCTGCTCACCACTCAAAAGCCAATAAACAGGCCAGGCTGATGAAAAGGAAAGTTTGTTTTATTTCAAATGCCGGCAACTAGGGGAGGGGAAGGGTGGCAGACATCTGTCCAGAGGTCAACTCCCCTCCACCTGGCAACCAGTGGGGTAGGAGCTCTTATAGACAGAGTGTGGGGGGCGGGCTATATGCAGAAATAGCACAGTCATCTCTGACAGTCATCTTCAAAATGGTCATTGGTGGTCTGAACAGCATCATCTTGGTTGTTTTAGGTACAGTTAATCACCAGTTCCAGGGTCTATTTTTACCCCATTTCTCTGAGGCCAATTCTGAGAACTGTGGCAGTTCATGTCCTGAGTACAGTTTGGTCAACATGCAGTTAATTTCTCCACCTGGAGTTTTAGTATGTATAAGACAGCTCACAGGATATGGCTCAGAATATTATCTATAGACCTTGAGAAAGAATTAAAGGTCCTTAACTGTGCTTAATGAGTACATTATTATTAGTCTCCTTTGAATGTTCTCCTTTGTTTTCCCATTTCTCACTTCTCTTGATTAAATTTATTCTTTGACTAAAGTTTTCCACAGACAGAAGGCAGTCAGAGGACATGGTATGGAGGGGCAAGGACCATAGCGTCCTGTTCTGATCTCAAGTACACCATCATCATGGAGCAGTGAGGGTACAGGATCGTGAACCCCACTTTTCAGCTGGCACCACCTCATGCTGGTCTCCAGGCCTTCATCATTGCTTTGCTTGCCTCCTGGGGCCCTCATGAGAACATGGAAACATGGATGTCTGTTCCCAGCACTCTTACTGAACCTAGATGTCTAGTCGGGGCTATGAGGCACAAAGCAAGGAAATAAAGAACAAATAGATCAGAAAGGAATAAATAAAATGGTTCCTATTTGCAGATGACATAGTTGTCTACACAGAAAATCCCAAGAAATGTATACACAAAAAAATTTCAAGAACTAATAAGTTCTAGGTTCTAGGATACAAGACAAACATAAAAAAAAATCAATGATATCTTTATATATTAGCAATGAACATGTGAACAATAAAATTAAAAGTACAATACCTAAAAATTTACAATCACTAAAAAAAGAAAAGGAAAGGAAGAAATGTTTAGGTGTGCGTTTAACAAACACATCCAGGCTTTGTATGCTGTCAACTACACAACACTGGTGAAAAAAATCAAGGAAGGTCTAAATAAATGGAGACACAAAATGTCTTCATGGACTGGAAACCTCAACATAGTAAAGATGTAATTGCCCCAAAATCTGACACAGAATAATGTTTAATCAGTTATCTCAGCATCCTATGGCCCAGGGAAGTTGACAACTGTGGTCAGAATAGCGTTACTGTAGGGATAGACAGGGAAGCCTGGCATGCTACAGCCCATGGGGTTGCAAAGAGTCAGACTGAACAACAACAAAAGAAGTAGAAGAAACAACCCATGAACACACCCACACCTGGATGGAAACTTGCCAAACTCGGTGTCACTGATCATCACCAATCAAAACAGGCTGGACTGGTTCCTAAAAGGGATGGGGTAACAGATTATTAATATGGGAAAGGTGAAACTTCTGCCTTAACCCAGACCAAAAAATAATCAGTAAGAAAAGGGCTGAAATATGAAAACACAAAATTAAAAACTAGAGTATCTCTATGGCTTCAAGTCGGGAAGGCATTTCTTCCACAAGGGTCAACTCTAAAGTTAAATGTTAATAAACTCAGTTAAAATGAAGAACTGTTCTGGGGTCTCTTCTTATAAGGGCACTAATCCCATTATGAGAGCTCCACCCTCATGACCAAGTGACCTAATTACTTCTCCCTCACCTCCAAATACTATCAGATTGGGGATTAGAGTGAATTTTGATGGCACATAAACATTGTCAGTGGATCTTCCCTGTAGCTCAGAAGAAGACCCAGGTTTGATCCCTGGTTTGGAAAGATCCTCTGGAGAAGGGAATGGCACTCCAGTATTCTTGCCTTGAGAATCCCATGGACAGAGGAGCCTGGCAGGCTACAGTCCATGGGGTCGCAAAGAGTCGGACACGACTGAGCGACTAACACTACTACTACTGAGCATTGTCAGTAAGGTGCTGGTTCCATCCCCTTGCTAAGCTGTGGTCTGTTCTGCTGCCACGGGGTGGGGGTGGCGGGGGCGCGGTTTGGGTCCTGCGCAGGCAGCTGGACCAGAAGCAGCAGCAGCAAGGACTCAGCACAGGTGGCAGCACGGGTAACACACAGCCTATTCCCTGCCAGGGAGCCCTCTGAGAAGGACAAAACTCCCACTTGCTCATCTGTGGCCCAGCCACCAGGTCAGGGTATCACACAGACACACTCACATGGGCGATTAGCCCCTTCTGGCACCTCTGCTATCATCCTCATCTGAGCTACTCAGATGAGCATCTGCTCAGTTTGGGATATTGTTGAAGGTAAGGAAAGATAGAGCCGTAAGCTATCCGTTGTGCAAGCTGCACACTGCAATTCCAGAAGGCATCATTCACAGCTGAGTCTCCGTTCTGCTATTAGCCGCGTTGAAGCTCACATTTATTGAACACACTATGTCCCAGATACATGGTCTCACTAAATTCTCGGCTTCTGTTTTCTTCCTTTTACAGACGATGAAACCCAGGCTCAAAGAGCCACTCCTTTGCCCAAACCGCAAAAGCAGAGCTAGGATTTAAACCTCCTGCTGCCCAGCTTCAGGGTCCCCAGGACACCGGACTCTGAGCACAGGGTTGGCACAAAAATCTGTTAACCCTGACCCTGACAGGCCAGACCCATGAAAGCCCCGCTGGCCGCCCCTGGGGCCTGGGCGCCACAGCACGGGGCAGGGCGCCCATGGCGCTGGACTCGGATTCAGGACTGGCTCTTCTAAGGACCAGACAGGAGACCTCGGGCCTCAGCAGGCCCCTGCGCCCACTACTCCGCACCCCTCCCCGCAGGGAAGCGAGTAGGAGCGCTCCAGGGGTTCCGCCGAGCCCCGCCCTCGGGGGCGGGGCTGGGAGCGGTCACGGGGAGGGGCGTCCAGTTCCCCCGCCCAGTCCGAGCCCCGCCCCGCCTCCAGGCTCCAGGCCCCCCACCCGCCCTCCGCCAGCAGAGAGCGCAGAGCCGGAGCAGGGCCCCGCGCGGGCTCGGTACCGGACGCCACCCCCAGCTGCCGAGGGTGCCGCGCGGTTTCAGGAGCCCCTGCTCGCTGCGTGGCCTTCTCCGGCCAGCTGTGCGGGCGGCTGGACAGCGGCGGCAGCGACAGCGAGGACTCGAGCGCGGGCGGTAGCCGCGACACCATGGATCTGTCTTTTATGGCCGCCCAGGTAAGGGGGCGCCTTCCACGCGCGCCTCGGGCCGCCAAGTTTGAGCAGGTTCGGGGCCACGGTCTCGCCCTCTCCTCCGGGGCTGGGCGCGCCGGGAGGGGTAAAGCCAGGAGGTGGCGCCCGCCGGCGATCCGAGTCCCGGTCCTTTGTCCGGAGCTGGCATCACCACCTGGTGCACGCGTCTGGGGCGGCGAGCGCGGCTCCCTGGGGTGGGGCCGGCCTGAGCTCCCCGCGTCGACCTGAGGTCGGGGTCTGGGCAGTGGTCCCCTCCCGGCCCATCCCCCACCTGCGGGGTCTCCCTTTCGTTGCCCCAGAGTCCGTCAAGGCGAGGCAGCCCCAGATCCGTGCGAGCCCGGGTTGGGCAGGCAACCTGGCTTTTCCCCATTCTGTTTCTTTCCGAGGCTCCGGGTAATCTGCCACTTGCTCTGACCTCCGGCGCCTCCCACCTCACTTTTCTCGCCTTTGATGGAGACCGCAGACCCGAGGAAGGCGGCGAGACCCGCTCTGTGACCCGCCAGGCGCCGGAGCTCAGAGCACAGCAGCGGCTCTGTCCTTGTTTTGCTTCGTGCTGAGTCTGTAGCGATTGTTCTTCCCTCGGCAAGGAACAGGTTCCCAGTGGCAGACAAAACAGATGACCTCTCATCGCTTGGTTTTGCTCCAGGAGAATCCCCCGGAGCCCTGGTCGTGGAGTGATCTTGTCGTTTGGTGCCCTAACTCTGGAGCCAGAACAAAGGCAAACGCCTGCTTTCCAGAGCTGTCTCTGGCCTTTCAGAGATGCAGTCTGGCTCTCGGGAAGGTTCACCGCTTTTGGGTTGGGGGAGTAAGTCCCCACGAGTTCAGACCTTGCACCTTCTGCCAGGATGGTTACGTTGAGAGTCCAGTGGCAGGAAGGACCCCCAGGTTCCTCTGTCCCCTGGGTGTGTGGCAGGAGCCCCGCTGACTGCTATTTACTCTTCCAGGGAATGGCGTTTCAGAGGATACCTCCCATTCCCCCCAAACTTCGCCCTGGTGGAGGCCTCTTTAAAAAGTAACTGCACAGTCTAGACCATGGGGACAGTGAGTCCCCAATGCAGGCGAGAATGGGTGTAGAATTCCCCAAGTTGGCTTAAGGGAACCCAGATTCCAGCTCTTGGCAGCCTCTTTATAGGTTTTCTATAATGCTAATTGCTTTCATGAGCCATGCTGGTCTTTTTTTGCCTAATTTTCTATCTCTTATTTCTAAATGCATGTTTAGAAATATTGTCTCATGGACATCATTTTAGGCAGTGGTGATGGTAGCTGTGTGGTGACTGAGGAGATGTCACCAAGTTTATTTCTACAGAGGAGAGGGGCTCACACAATGTCTGCCTCTGCCTTCCGCCTCTGGTGGTTTGCTAAGTGGTGTCCGACTCTTGCGACCTCATGGACTGTAGCCTGCCAGGCTCCTCTGTCCACGGGATTTTCCAGGCAAGAATACTGGAGTGGGTCGCCATTTCCTCCTCTAGGGGATGTTCCCAACCCAGGGATCAAACCCTGGGATTGAACACAAGTCTCCTGCACTGCAGGCAGATTCTTTACCCACTGATCCCCTCTAGAGCCCACCAAACAGCTGACGTTGCCATGGTTACAGGATAAATTGATTACTGCTAACCCTAGGACTGGCTGAAGCTTCAGGAGTTGCTATGGTAACTTGACAAAATAAACTAGGGCTTTTCAACACCCATAGGCAGAGCCTGCTCAGAGGTTGAGCTCTGTTTTTTTCTTTTTTGTTTACAATTCATGTTTAATGTGGTCATTTTATTTCTGTGGACAGATGTTTGGGAATTGATTACATGCTCAGTCCTGGGCTAGCTGCAAGGACAGAAACATGAAGTGCCATCAAATGTGGAAAGACATTTACTGAGACCTGCTCTGTGCCAGACATGGACACTTGCATACTTGATTATAGTAAATTCTAACACGTCTGGCAAGTCTGTGACGTTGGTATTATTATCCCCATTTTACAGATCAGGATACCACACTTAAGTGAAATAAAACAATTTCATTGAAAAAACAGCTTCATTGGGTTAGCAGTAACCCAGGACACATTATTAGCAAGGAGGAACATGGGTTTCAAACCTGGCTCTGAGGATTTGCAAAGCTGCTAGGTTTTCCACCTTATTGCTTCCCCCTGAGAAAGACACAAAATAAGGGACCAGGCGGACATATTTAAAGATGGCTTATCTCTTCTCTAAGCATCCCAGGTAGCTCAGTGGTAAAGAACTCACCTGCCAATGCAGGAAGCATAAGAGACACAGGTTCGATCCCTGGGTCGGGAAGATCCCCTCAAGAAGGGCATGGCCACCTGCTCCCGTATTCTTGCCTGGAAAACCCCAAGGACAGAGGAAGCCTGGCAAGCTATAGTCCATGGGGTCTCAAAAGAGTTGGACATGACTTAGCGACTAAACAACAATTGCAGCACTTATGCTTGGCCCCAGTGTACTCAGCACAAACTATGGGTGTGCAGTGACCACCAGGTGCGTGTGACCAAGCTGCTGTCCCCACACAGCGGCAGGGGGCAGTTGAACAGAGACACATGAATGCTTCCATCCACTTGTTCGGCTAATGCTGAGTGCCGGCCTTACGCCAAGCTCCGTGTCAGGCACTGGGACAGGGATGCTGGGGGACAGTTGGATAGGATGTGCATTGTTTCTGGACCCTTGGAGAAGAGTGGAGATGACAGACCAGGCCATTCCTAGAAAGGGTGACCAAAATGCCTGGCATATAGTAGACCCTCCGTAAGCATCTGTGAGATGATTGGATGAGGGTAAAACAAGATGTATGTACTGGAAAAGACAATCAGAGGAAAAGACAGTGAATTTGAGGTAACACATGCCCCTGCCCAAACACCTGCTCATCAGTTCTTGAGGCTGGAGGTTCTGATGGATGAGAACTAGAGGTAGATTCCCCCTGATGGGCCTGGGAATAAAGGTATTTTAAACAGAGAGGCATGGAACTTCCCTGGTGATCCAGTGGTTAGGAGCTGGCACTTTCACTGCCATGGGCCGGGGTTCAATCCCTGGTCAGGGAGCTGAGATCCTGAAAGCCATGTGGTGTGACCAAAAAAAAAGCAGAGAGGCATGGAGGTAGGAAAGCTGGAATGTATTCACAGAATCCTCCAGGAAGCTGGAGGGTAGGGGACACTGTAGAATTGGGAGAGAGAGGCCAGGACCTGGTGGTAGAAGGTACTCACTGCCTGAGATGAGAAGTTCACACTGAAGCAGGAGACAGTGGGACCCATTGTAGGTGACTGAGCGCGAACGGTTTCTAAGTGAAGCAGCACCCTGGGAAGACCTCAGCCTCAGCAGAGCCCAGAAGCTGGAGGGATGGATGGAGTAGGAAGTGCACACCTGTTTGATTCACTGATGGAGTAGAAGAAACCACATCCTTGTGACTCCAAACCCCAAGTCTTTGTCCCTTCACCAAGTTGTGAAATATGACTTCTCTTTGTGGCTTAAAAAATATCTGGAGAATACATGCCATTTTAGATAGACACCCCTCTCAAAAGTTAAGCATCAAAAAGACGCTGTTCTTGGATGTACAAGAGTGGACATCAGTTATCCAGCAGATCCTCTTACGCGGATGCACCCTCCCTACGCGGATGCTGGATGTACCCAGCATGTACACGGGGCTGTGGGTCTGGGTTTAGAAGATGCTGTGGGTGCTGAAGATATAAAGACTCAGCTCACTCCTGAGCCTTGGAGGCACTCTGCTGTCCTTTTCCCCAACCCTGAAAACACCCCAGCCCCTCTCTACACAGTCCCTGGGTCCCTGGAGATTCTAGAAGGTTGAACGGTGAACAGGGGTATATGTTTTACTATGGCCAGAGATGGCCAGAAGAGCAAGGCTCCCCAGACCCCTGGGAGCCGGGAGGAGGGGAGAAGCATAGATCTTGAGGACCGATCCTCAAAGCCCTGTGTTGTCATGGGGTAGCCTGTCTCCAGAAATGGCCCCAACCATTCCTTCCCTACCTCTGAAGGTGCCTGCTGGCTCCCCATTAGGGGGTGGGAGATCTGATTCCCCTCCCCTTGATCTGAGCCTGGCTTTGTGACTTTTCTGACCAAGACAAGTAGTGTGAGTGACATTCTGAGATTAGCTTGTAAGAAACCTGCAGCTTCTACCTGGGACTCTTTGAGCGCTTTCTCGGGGGTAAGTCCATGAGCTTCCATCGTGCATGAAATGTGGAGATCCTGAGACAGCCAGACTGAGGAAAAGGAAGGAACATTTAAGGGACCTACTGTGTGCTGGGCCACACATGGGATGAACTCGAGGTACAAGGAGCCCTGTTCATATGTTTCTAGGTTGTGACCCCCTATAGAAAAAACAGGCCTAGAGCCTAAGATGGAGAAGAAAATGGCAACCCACTCCAGAATTCTTGCCTGAGAATTCCATGGACAGAGGAGCCTGGTGGGCTACAGTCTGTGGGGTCACAAAGAGTCGGACACTAATAAGTGACTAACTTTCACTTCACTTTCAGGGCATAGGACTCACTCTTATTTTTGTCTTCTGTTGTCCCTACAGTGATGAGTCTAAACCCAGGAGTTCCCAGATGTTGCCACCATTTGAATCACCTGGAAACTTTTAAGAGTCCTGCTGCTGAGGTCCAGCCCTAGACACTCCCATCTGAGTCTGGAGCTGGGAGCCAGCATCAGTATTTTATTTTCACCCCCTAGTTGATTCCAGTGTGCGATCAAGGTTGAGACCTGGACCTGAAACCCACACTGTAGGGCCATTCCCCTCCCACTTCTCTGGATGGAGCAAGTCTTTGGCTCTCTGGTCCCTGTTAGGTCATATAAAGCCATGTTGTCCCTGGAAATCATTCCAGTATCAATTCAGCAAATTCAAATGTTGAGGCCCAGAATAATGGGAACTTGCTCCAAAATAGAGATCGTTATTTGGGATTGGCAGATGCAAACTATTGTGCAGAGGATAGGTTAACAATGAGGTCCTACTGTTATAGCACAGGGAAGTATGTTCAATAC